CCATGTTAATAATTTCTCTAAGAAGTCTGAAATCTGCATTTTTAAATTGTCTCCATCCAGTTATTGAAACAAAACAGAACAAAAAGGACAAGGTGCTCAGCTGGCACAAAATACATTTCAGTTGAAATTATTGGAACTAGCACAATTTGTATCAGCAAGAAACTAGCCTATAGGTGTTAACAGCAAGTACAGTGAAATTAATCTAACCACATATATTTTCTATGGTGGTTTTCTGGTTTTTCTATGTAGCTAATATAGGAAGTGCAAAAATAACAATTAAATCATATTTGTAGACACACCTATCTTTTTTAGGTGTAAACTAAACATGTTTTCAAGGTAATTAAGAGACAGTAAATATGCAGATTCCCCGAAATGCCACAGACAGATTATTTTTACAGGTTTCCATTTTAATGGTGCTTTCTGCAGTAGTTACCAAATAGTTTATGTAGGTCACTTTTATGTATGATTGCTCAGCAGTTTTTGTTAGGTAGTTTTGCTTTCATTAATACACACTCTTTGACTCACTAAATCTCGTCATTCTCAGAGATTAATATTTCATTATTTTTAATTGAAAGATGATAATTTCCTGATATTTTCTATCTAGAATTTTAACGTTTATGTTTTGCTCTTGAAACGTCTTCTACATCATTAATATATTGCTGTAGGCAGAAGAAATTAGTTTTGAATAGAGTTTGACAGAACAGTATTTCACGTATCTGTCATAGTTAAGACAGGGGAAAAAAAACTATCTATGGATCTGTCTGTGTGTCTGTTTATCTGTCTAAGCATGTTCTACATTTTAAATAGTCTCTTCAGACAAAGACCTTACTAGTGATATGCTGAAATAAAAAGCATCTTCAGTAGGCTAAAATATCTAGGCCGATATTCAACAATGCCCTGAGGTCCACACCTAAATGTAGACACTTTTATAAATTGATTCCACTGTACAAATCTCATATTTGATTTTGAACATGTACTCCAGGGCTTTTGAGGGAACAGAGGATTGGCAGTGTGTGTTCCTATGGAAATCTCACCATTAAAGTTCATCCTAACTTTCAGAAACACTGCAGATATACTCTCAGATACAATGTCACAATCTGCTTGCCCACAGGTCTGATTTGTAAGTCATGAGAATAAAACATGTCTTATTCCAAATGTTAAGGGTTTTTCTCTTTTACAGGTCTGACATAATTTTGCCACTAGTATATGTAACTGCAAATTAACAGGTGGCATGGCTTATTTCAATAAAAATGCCAAATACCAATTTCTAAGGGATACAATTTCATATCCTTCTTCATTACAGCCAATTTTACCACGCAGTGGTTGGTGGTGTTTCTGATACCAACAAATGCTTGTCAATTGAGGAAGCTCTGTGTTTCCACCTTATGATTTTTCTTTTGGGAAAAGTTTTATAGAAGGAGGAATCTGCTCCTTGTTTTGTAACCCATATGAAAGACTTATGATTTAGGAGATAAATGTCCATTCCCACTGATTTGAGCAAAACCCTTTCTAGCTTTTGTGAGTTCTGCCTCTCGGGTAACTACTTAAGATTATATTGAAGTTACCTACAATCTAAGCTAAACATACTGAGCCTGTGGAATAACTTTCTCTTGCAATTGGTAGATAAGAAGTTTTACAGTTAAGAAAAAACGAAACAGAAGAAAAAAATTTTCTCTGCTTCTAGAAGACCAACAATGAATCCTTCCCAGCAATCTCTTCAGTAATGTGTAAAATTTTAGTAGAAAGAGATTTTCTTGAAAGATGTAGCAGCTCCTTTTCTTTTCCTTTTGGTTGTGAGAGCCTTTCCTGTCAGTCATAACTTTCTGAATTGGATGTTCTGCACTGAGATTCTTTTCTGGGTGACTAACCTGTTTTCTTGCATTAGGCCAGAATGGTACAACTGAGCACATGAACTTGGGAGATAGTCAAGTATTTCCAGTTAAGAAATACAGATTCTGAAATGCACAGATATGCCAAAGGTCATATTTTCTTTAGGTTGTAGCACAGGATAGGCTTAGATTTCTAACTTAGATGGACAGGTAGCATGCAATACTATTTTGCTTTGTGAAAGCTTGTCACATGAAAGGTGTGGGGGGGACATTCACCCAACTTTGGATTTGCATATGAAGACCTGATACTAAATAATAATCAATGTAATACATCATGACGATGAGTTTAAAATCCCAAATAAGAACATCGTAATTCAAATATTTAGCAGGGTCCATAGAAATGACATCTTGTTTGTATTTCTTCCAAGATCATAAGAACTTCCATTACAAAAGGGTTACAGATAACAAACTTACAACCCTGAAGCTATTTTAGGTTGTTAGTCACCGTGTAGTTACCTCATTATTAGCAGCAACAAGAGTTTTCCCATTGTCTACTAAAGTACCTCACTAGGGATTTAGAATTCTTAGGTATTTGGGAATGTTCCAATCTCTAACCAACTTCTGTCCCTGGTGTATATGACTGTGTGATTTGTGTTAGCAAATATAGTGGTATCTATAATAAAGTAAATTTTGAAGTGTATAATTGAACAAATAGTTAACTTTATCCATAGCAAGTAAACTTTACAGCAATTAATATTAAAAAATTATGATCCAACTGGATTGAAATTAATGTAAATAGTACTTTTTCTCAACTTTGTATGTAGTTTATTCAGCAAGTCTTGTTAAGCTCACTGGAATGAGAGATGAGCTGTGAGCCCTCACAGAATTAACTAGGCATGTTTCTGTTATCTGGGGCAACAGATAATGGAGTAGGAGACCCTGAAAACAGAAGAGCTTTCATAAAATGAACATAGTGCAAGTACAGGTGCAAGTACAGCATCATGTTGTGGCCTCAAACCCCTTATTTCAACCCAGAAAGAGCTTGAGTACTTCCAGACCATGCTCTCCATGAGGACTAGCTCAGAGTTTACAATGGATGTTTTGATTTCCTGAATTTTCAGGGTCCCAAAAGCTCATAATCCAGATCAAACATTCTATCAGGGAGAATAGCTGCCTGTGGAGTCCCTGTCCCACCCTTTGGAGAACTTGTCCCCTTCCAATCTAATTAATCCCAGGAGCCTGTTCACTAAACCACACCCTGCTCTCAGCCAAACCAAACCTCATTTCAGGATGCTTTATCTGGAAGCTACTCCTAACCCACCCTAGACCTCTCCCTGAATCTACAGCCTTCTCCCTGAATCTCCAGCCTTTCTCAGAGTACTCTGAGCTCAACACAGATGGGAAAGATCTAAACCCTAATGGCCCAACTCCTGCTGTGCCTTGTGTTGCTGGTTGGCTTGAGAGGCCACTCAACTCACACTCCTTCCTTTCCTCCCTCTCTGATTGGTGGAGTGGCTGGGTTTGTTTAATATTTTCTAGAGGAGAGGCTTGGTCTTCAGTTGTTTTTTCAGAGTCCCTGATCTACTCAGTGGGACCTCTAAAGGGTGAATTAAAGAGGTAAGAGTCTACCCTGAACGAGTTAAAAAATCAGTGTAGGATGGTTCAATGCAAAACAGTGCCATGGGAGGTCTTTTTTTAATTCAGATGGTGGTAAATTATTTTATGGATGAAAGTAGCTTGTTCCATGAAAGCAACGTGTTGCATGTTTGGCCCCTTTTAAAAAGGAGAACTAGAGTAGTATTTGTACCTACCTGTTACAGTGCTTTTTGTTAGATCTCACTGTTGTTACACTGATGGTGAAATGTAGGCAAAATGAACAAAATTGTTTTCCCAAAGCTTTGTTTGTAAGTATATGAAGACAAGAATTTGTTCTTTAATGTTCTTTTTGTATCCACAAAAGCTAGAAAGTGGATTTTAGTACTAGTTACACATGCTTTGTAAAGCTGTTCAGAAGTCCCCTGTTGAAGCTAGTTTCGATTTTGCATATAAATGTTCAACTATTTTATTGTAATACTGCTTGTATACATGGAATATATTCTTCCTAAATTTATATTATTTTTATAATATGAATACTTTTATTTCACATTTTTCTTAATTTTCAACTGAATTAGAAGGTTTTATTATTTAAAAAACATATTTATTTTAAAAATGTAGTCCCTTTTAGTTCTTTTTTTCAAATAACTCTCATATTGAGAAATCATCAAAATTCCTTTGTAGTTAAAATACAAAGTATAAAACTCTAAGAGTTACATTTAAATTTTTTTTATGTTGATGGCTATTTTATCCTACCATTTTTCATAAGTAAAAATAGCTTCTTCAGTCATACTGAGTATTGGTCAAACAGCCCTGGAAGAAAATAGGTCTCTCTGGGAATCTCTTTTCTGTTCCTGCAAGTTTTTCTCTAAGTTGTAGTGAAAATATCACTATATGGTCTACTCTACAAGCAGCACAACTGATACTGTAAGATCAAGCTGTTTGTCGGGGAGCACTACCAGAGTCTGAAATCCAAAGCAGGGTTAATTTACAGAATTTCAAACCGTTTTATAAGAATATATGCATTGGATCTTGGCTTGTAATTTAGCTGTAACAAGAGTTTTGTATGCAATCTGGGAGAGTGTAAATCTCCTGGACTACAATTATGGCATAATTTAATTTTAACTGAGTCGTGTTTTCTAACGAAACAGCTACTAAAACTGCATGTGCAGTTTAGCTGAGTGACGAGGTGCATGGACTTCTACCTGCAAATGAATTTTAGGGATGTTTACTATATTCACCAGAGAGAGTTTAAAGTATACACTGACGTTTTAAAAATAATTTGATCATTTTTTTCTAATATTGTAGTAGAAGTTCTGGTCTGCTTATGAGATAATTTCAGAACCTTCACCTTTCAACTTCAATATGTGAATGAATTCTAGAGAATGAAGGTACTTGGAGAGGTTAAAGAAGGCCAGTGAGCTGTACTTGCCTAACTCACATGGTGAAGGATGAAGAGAATTGCATTTAACAAACTGGGTTATAGGTGGGACAAGTAAAGGGACAGTCTGTGTGTTCTATAAAAGCTCAGTGACCAAACCTTATGATTTGTCTTGAAATTTCTATTTATCTTTTTAGCCATGGAAACCTGCAGTTAATGCTGTTGAAGTGCTGATGGAATTGACCCAAAGGAACCCTTTAAAAGTAAGTTCAGATGAAACAAAAATCCCTTCCATTTGCAACAAGTGAATTGCATAGGGCTTGAAAATGAAAGTTATGTTTATATGTTTCTCTTAATTTAGAATAATTTTTTTTCTCTTTAAAAAGCTTGAAGATTTCAGTTGTTTCAGTTTCTGTGACAACTGCCCTTAATGTATAAACAGGTTTAACTGTGGATTGCATCTGTACTTGCATAATATTCTCCCTTATTCAGTTGTAATCTAGAATAGCTAATCTAGAATCTGCTGCTGGTAGCGTGCTTTGAGCTGATTCTGACTCTTCTCAACTTCCAGGGAACTTGGATTCAGATGCAGAAGGACTGTGCATCTGCATAGATGAGAGGACCAAAGGATGTCTCTTTGGGCGTGGTGTCCGTGGGCATGGTGAGATGATAAAGTTTATATATCATCAGAAAAATTCATGTGAAAACCCTTACCAATTTGGTAGCCGAAGCAAAAACCCTGTCATACCCAGCACTGTAGCTATGGAAAATATGCATCACTTGATTTCAAGGTCATGTCTTCCAGGAAAGCATTACAGTGTTTCCAGTGTGCTTCCAGACTTTCAGTCTGACATCTGCAAGGCAATACACTTTTGAGTGCAGATGTGCCTTCCTCAAATTCAGTAATGAATATATCTTTTGTTTCCCATCTTTTATAAGGGTGCAAAGTCCAGATGTGGACCCGACTGCCATTAAAATCCTGGAGGGATGAGTTGTTTTTTTTTTTTTTTCTTCAAATTAAATTGAGAATTGGCAGTGTTGTTAGAAATTATTTGGAAATTCACAAATTCACATCACGTTTGTCTAAGTGATGATTGCCAAACAAGGTTTGGAGATACATAACCGGAAGTTAAAAGACAGTGAAGGATAGCTGAGAATGCTGGAGAGCATAATCATAGTGAAATGTAGGACCAGACTATTTTATTGAAAGTGTTTCTATTAATGAAACCCTGGGAAAATCCCCTTAATTTGTAATCCAGTGTTGCTCACTCTGCATAGTATTTACTCTTCTTTTAAAGGCTGTGTGTATTTCACGTGCTAGTGATAACATAATAAGGCCACATGGAAATCCTTATAAAGATTGGAGGGGAAAAAAAAAACAAACCTCTCATGAGAAGAAAAACAGATGCAAAGCTATTACCTTGCACCTGGAAGTCTTTCACATGGCAGCTCTGTGCATTTCCAACCACCCCATAAGGACAGAAACAACACAAGCAGCTGATAATATGATTGTGAGGAATGTGTTGACCGTGGTGATGACAGGCTGATATATTTACCCCTCGAGAGCACAAGTGCACCTGTGAAATATTAGACTGTGCTTTTTTACTACAAGATCAGTTTAGAAATGTTTAAGAGTAAGCTGCAAGATGGAAGGAGAGGGCAGGTAAGAGAGGCTGGGAAGAGGTAAGTGATATACATTTGGGAAAAGCAGAGTGTGCTTTCAGAACAGTTTATCACAGAGCTTTGGAAGCTTGTTCCACTCTCATTAAGAACAGATCCTTTGGAAGGAAGCGTCTATCAATGCAGCTAATTAAATACACTAGAATTAGTAAACAAGGAGAGAAAATTCCTAGTTTATGTTAAAAATACAAAATTTAACATGCAATTAGTGATACACACTCGAGAAAATAAAAGGAATGTTTCAGATGGCAGGGTGGCACTGACTGTGTATTTCTAATTTATGTTTTCGGTTCACACACCAAATGGTACAGAAAACATTACATGTGTGGAGAGCCTCAAAACTGAAATTACTGTTGGTGTGGTATACTCTGAATCCTTCCTGAATTCTTGGAATTTTATCTTTAGTTCTCGCAGATAATGGTTGTGATTATATTTAAAGAAAACTCTGCGTGCTAGTAGTAGTAGTGCTGTTTCCAAGTGATCCTTTTCCATTTTGGAGTTCTCCTGGGGGAGGAAAGAGAAAAGATGTACTTGTGGATTGGTTTCTTGATTGGGATTTTCATTTGGTTTTTTTTTTTTTTTTTTTTTTTTTTTTTTTTTTTTTTTTTTTTTTTT